TGATCGACTAGACGGCCTCGCACGCTTGCGCTCCGTACAAAGCGCGATCGAAAACGCAGCACAACCGGAGGGCATCGCAGTAGTGACTCATCAGGTCACCACCATGCCGGCGGTTTTCAGAGTCGAAGAAAATAGCTCAACAACTTATCAACTCATAGCAACAATCACGTATTTGATCTAGAAGGAAAGGAAATAATCATGCCTGCTGAACTCCAGTCTACGACCTCACAGCCACAGGCGAGGACGCCAGTGTCGATTTACGAGATGCAGCACTGGCTACGAGTCAAAGGCGGCGAGTACATCCGCGTCACCGAGGACACTAAAGCTGACGCGGAGCGCGAACCAAACTCTTATGAGCCGAAATATATTGATCGCAAGACCCAGCCGAAATTTCAGCTCGGGAGAACCGATACTTACAAGTTTGAAATCGATGCAATGGGTCCCGGCGGCATCCAACAGCTGCTAGCTCGGCATGAAGACGAGCTGGATGTCCCCATAGAGTATGTACGTACGCTTACCTACGATTTTGAGGCAGGTAAGCGTGTCGACGATACAGCTCTTGTGGCCAAGCATGCTCAGGGCACGCTCAATGTAGACCCCATGTCTGGTGACGACATTGCGCCAATAAAATTTACTTGCACAGTAACCATCACCACAGAGTACGAACGTGGCACTTTTAATGCGACAACGAAAACATTCACGAAAAAGAATAATTAATAGGTTGATTGCTTAGGGAGATGAGATGGCGACGTACCAGCTGAAAAAGAGCCCGACCTTACCTATCGAGATCGATGGGAAGACATACGAGCTTGCTCTCGGAAATTTTACTTTCATCCTTGATGCTCGTACATGGCTTAAGGAGTGCGAAAGCTTACAGAGCATCACCGATACTGACGAGGTGATGGACGCGCTTGAGGCACTCTCTGAAAGAGCACGCATCATGATAGAGAGTGCCGTCGGCAAGAACGCTGCTCAGGAGCTCATCGGCGAAGCGCACCGGCTCGATCTTTACCGCATCATGGATGTGATGAACATCCTCGCGG